TTGTACTTCTTAATCCTTGTGCCTTTCCCCCTACTCTCCACCTTCCCTCTCCCAGCTAATAACCCTCCAAATGATCTCCGTATCTATGATTCTGTTCCTATTCTGCTTGTTTGCTTAGTTTGGTTTTTTAGATTCATTTGTTGATAATTGTGCATTTGTTGCCATTTTAATGTTCATTGTTTTGATCTTCTTTTTCTTAAATAAGTCCCTTTAACATTTCATATAATAATGGCTTATGATGATGAACTCCTTTAGTTTTACCTTTTCTGGGAAGCACTTCATCTGCCCTTCAATTCTAATTGATAGCTTTGCTGGGTAGAGTAACCTAGGTTGTAGATCCTTGCTTTTCATCACTTTGAATACTTCTTGCCAGTCCCTTCTAGCCTGCAAAGTTTGTTTTGAGAAATTAGCTGATGGTCTTATGGGACCTCTTTTGTAGGTAACTCTCTGCTTTTCTCTTGCTGCTTTTAAGATTTTCTCTTTATCTTTTACCTTTGGCATTTTAATTATGATGTGTCTTGGTGTGGTCCTCTTTGGGTCCAGTTTGTTTGGGACTCTCTGTGTTTCCTGGACTTGTATGTCTGTTTTCTTCACCAAATTAGGGAACTTTTCTTTCATTATTTTTTCAAATACATTTCCAATTTCTTAACTCTTCCACTTCTTCTTCTGGCAGCCCTATGATTTGGATGTTGATACATTTGGAGATGTCCCAGAGGCTCTTTATAGAATAGAATGAGAATAGAACACTATTCTCATTTTTTTAAATTCTTTTTTCTTCTTGCTATTCTGATTGAATGCTTTTTTTCTTCCTTATGTTCCAAATTGTTGATTTGAATCTTGGCTTTATTCCCTCCACTGTTGTTTTCCTGTGGATTTTTCTTTATTTCACTTAATGAAAACTTCATTTCTCCCTGGATCTTTTTTTTAACTCTTGCACTACCCAATGATTTCTTTGAGCATCCAGATTACCAGTGTTTTGAACTCTGCATCTGATAGGTTGCTTATCCCCATTTCGTTTAGTTCTTTTCCTGGAGTTTTGTTCTGTTCTTTCATTTGGGCCATATTTCTTTGCCTCCTCAATTTGGCAGTCTCCCTGTGTTTGTTTCTGTGTATTAGGTAGAGCTGCTTTGACTCCCTGTCTTAGTAGCATGGCTTGTATGGGTGAATGTAACTTCTTTAAGTACTTGGTTGTTGGGCTTCCATACAGCTTGATTTTCTGATGGATCTGGGTGATGTTTGTTTTGTAGTTTAGTTGTAATTTTTGCAGTAGTTGTGCACAGAGGCGAAGCATATTTACCCTCGCCTCCACCTTGTCCAGAAGTTCATTATGTTTTTAGAGTAGTAGAAATTGAATTGAAAATGGCTCTGAACTTTGTCTAAAGAAGGGCTACAGAATTTACTTAAATTGATAAAATTCAGAATTTGAATAATGACTATGCTTTAAGCCTTAACCTTAAGGCCCTTTCATCTTCCACAAGCCTGGGTTTGAGAGTGAATAACATTGCAGAAATGCCCACATATCCTTAGGTCATTAACTTAACAATTTAGGATCCTTAGTGTGCTGTCTTCCAATCCCCTGCCCACTCCAACAGCTGTTCTGGCTTGGCCAATGCCTCCAGAGTTAATAGTGTTTCTGTCACAGGGTGAGTTTTCAACTTGGTATGTACAGTTTCTGCCAGCGTGTGCTCTGCTGCCAGGCCTCAGATTTGGAAATTGCAACTGATTTGTGGGGGAGGGAGTTTGGTGTTTGTTACCAAGGAGGAACAAGGTGCTCTCCAGGGCTCTGATTTGTTACGGGCTGAGTGTGAATGATGTCAGGCAGATCAGAGGACGGACAGCTGATTCATTTGGGATCTGGAACTCCTCACTCTCTCACCACTGCTTTCTGGGCTCTTAGGTCTTTTGGAGGGGAGGGGTCCTGAATATTATGTTTTTGAAGAAAAGTGCTTTAATTTTTCTCTTAAGTTTGGGAAGCCTTTGTAAGTTTCCTTTGGCTTATAGACTGCATACCCCTTGTGTGAGAGAACTTCCTGCCAAGACTCCAGTGTGAGAGGGCAAAAGCTTGAGTAGCCAGGAAAATGATGAAACGGAGGAGAGAGAGACTGGGAGCACCATGCCTGCGGATTCAGTAAGGAGGCTGGGGTCTCTGAGTGGAAACTGGTGGATGTCAGTAAAAGAACTAATGCCAACTAACAGACCTTCATTTACTTGGGTAAAGACTGTGCTGTGGAGATGTCTGTCAGGAAGAGGGCTGAGATAGCTTCACATAGTCAAGGTCAAAGCAGTGGTCCTTGGCAGGGGCATAGGGGTTTCTAATTCTGAATATTGAGTTAGTTGTCCTTTTAGGGGTTCTTAGGTACTTGTGGGACTGAGTTAACAATGAAGGTCCATTGTTTTTTTTCCTTTCTTGGAAGTGGATGTTTAAAGTTAGTCAAAGCTGCAATATAGGCCTCATGAAGGTGAGAAAAAAATAGAAGTGAAGGCTTCTCCTTCTTTGACTAGAGATAGTATTGTATTTCTGCCCCTGGCCTGAAATACAGGACTTCGTATCTGCCTGTGTAGATGCAAGCCGGAGTCCTTTAGGGTGTGACCTAAATTTTATTCTATGTAGGTCTATATAGAAACATACTTAGGTGAGGATTTCAAAGCTGGGGAATGAAAGAAGTCTTCTACCTCTTGGTAGCTTTTCCAAGAGCTTCCTTATATAATGCAGAAGTGCTGAATGACTTGACCAGGAAATTGGGGAATCAGGGACAGAAGTGTCCTAGAATCCATTTCACCTTAGTGATCTGTCTTGAACTGTGTTTGCATAACTCACAGGGTAGAGGGAGCACACTTGTCTTTCCTTGAATGTTAGTGCTTACCCAGAGACAGCTGGCATAGCAAATAGACAGATTTCTTCAGTGGGCTTCCTTTGGGTTGTTACCCTTCAGTGTTAGTGGGTGTTATTAATTGAATTAATGATTCTACCAGTCTTTGGAAAATCAGACTTGAAGTATAAAATTGTAAGGATTGGCATACACTTGACCCTTGAACAACATGAGTTTGAACTGCATGGGTCCACCTATATGTGGATTTCTTTCAGTAAATATTGTAAACATATTTTCTCTTTCTTATGATTTTCTTAATAACATTTTCTTTTCTCTACTTATTTTGTTGTCGGAATATAATATATACTACATATTCAATATGTGTGCTAATTGACTATATTATTTGTAAGGTTTCCTTCTAGTCAGCAGTAGGTTATTGGTAGTTAAGTTTTTGGAGAGTCAATGTTATACATGGATTTTTGATTTGCACGAGGGGCTGGTGCCCCCAACCCCACATTGTTTAAGGGTCAACTGTACTTTTAAAGAAATGGTTTGTTCCCATATTAAGACTAAAAATTTAAAGACTATTTAAAAAAAGCTTTGTCAACTAAAGTGTCATTTAAAGTAAAGGTGACTTGTCAGCAAAGTTGGAGTTTTTTAAATTGAGTTTGTAGTTTAAGAAAACATAAGTTGTCAAAAATCATGCTCTCTAAATATTGGCTCCCTGGTATTAGTAATCCTCATATCTGTTGTAGCAACGTTGAATTTAGGTTAGGAAAATACTCCTTTGGAGAAAATTCTCCTTGGAGCTAGTGAATAACTTTTTCTTTCAAACAATCCTTTTTAGACTCTAGTCTCAATGTATAAGCAGTTTGCAGAGTGGTAATTAGGAGCAAAAGGAGAAAGACAATTGGTTTTGGTAGATTTTTTTATAATCCTAATTGTATAGTCATCAAAATGGCTAAAGCCTCATTTCATGTGATAAGATTTAGGTCTTCAAAATTTTGAATAAGCTAAACTATTCAGTTTAATAAGAAGTAAATGTCTTATATTGTCATTAGATCTAGTTTATATATGTTAGGGAGCTTATTTTTGAATAGTTCTTTAGAAAAGTAAAAATCCTCAAAGTCAGAAATTAATATTTTACTTAAAATTTTTAAAAAATATCTTGTTTAAGGAAATTTGGGCATACCTGTAATTTTAAATACTTGTCTGCCCTCCATTTTTCTATCCTGTTATATCCTCATATTGTGTACTCATCTGAGAAATATGCTGAAGACAGCTAGGAGGGTCATGTGTAGGAAAGTGAAGATTTCCTTTGAATACATGTAATTAAACACAAGTAGGATGTCACATATCCATATCCAAACAGTCGGCAGTAACAGTACAAGAAACTAACATTTTAAAACAGTTCAGGTGCTTATGTGATAGTTAATTTTTTTAATCTTGGAAATAAAATATTATAGTCTAATAGGATATTTTATAGAAAGCCATGGTGCTACTGTAGCAAAATAACTGCTACGAATCTGTTAATAATTTGTCAGCATCTATGGCATATCTATCATTGATCAACAAAGTAGAAATCTATATTTACTATTTGTCTGTTCTCAGTCTAATGGTCCTATTTACTTACTGGTCTTCATTAGGATTTAACACATCAAGAAGGCTAGATTGTTTTTAGAGGAAACAAGTAACCTGGAAAACTAAAGTTAAGCAGGAGCCAATTGTATTATACAGAGTTGTGACATTAGTTGATACACTCATTAGGCAAAAGTTAGTTAAATAAGTTGGTGTCATTGTAGATATAACCTAACAATTTATAAACTATTATTTAGAATGTTTTACTTTTATGGAAATAAAATTTCTCTAGGAAGTTTTAGTCATTGCACACAAAATATCACCTATTGCTTGCTTAATTGATGAATTGTAGTAAATTTGCAATATTTTCCCAGTAGTCAGTAGTAAATACTTCGAATACCTAAGGCTTAAATTTTTGTTTTAAATTCTGAAAATTAAGTTTTAGTCTCAATGGTCATTCTGTGCTGACTTTGGTACTGAGTTACGATATGTGAGAATGATTTTTACTACTTTTCTTAAGTCTCTTGCCTAAATTAATTCACTTTGAAGATGTTTCTTTTTGGTTAAAAACGATCACTGACCTTGTTCTTTTTTTACCATGGTACTTGTTAGAATCTCTACTCTTTGCCGAGGATCTGAAGTAAACCAGCACATGTATTCACCCACATCGGCTCCAGCCCTGTCCCTCATTAAAGTCCCATATAGTGCTGACTGTGCCCTGGCTGCTGCTCCTCTTGCTTTTTTCCTGAACCCACAAGCCCATAGCAGCCCTGGCAGTCCCTGTTCCAGCCGCCCACTGCAGTGGAGGTAAGAGACCTGCTGTGGTGTGAACTGTGGGCCTGGGTGATTGCTTCTGGCCTAATAGGTAAAACCCAAACTTTTCTCCTTAGTAATGGGGAGAAACTGAATAAAAGTCATGACCCTGTTACAGAGAAGAGTAAAAGGAATGTCACGGATCTCTGCTCAAAATTTTAGGAGAAAGGAAGATATCGATTCATAGCTTGAGAGTTGTTTGTCCATCCTGACTGTGATCACCCCGTGGCAGAAACATAGTATGACAGTGCTAGAGCTCTTTAAAGGTTCAGTAGTTCAAACAGCACATTCTACATAACAGGAAAACCTGATTCCAAAGCAGGTTAAGTGATTTGTTCAGACTGCTGAAGATTACCCTCTCCCCATTTCTTCTAGCCTCTATTTTTATATATTAAACATTATTTGAGTACATATGTGTTGGGCACTATTTTAGACAAGGAGGACAAACCGGTGAACACAAAGGGATAAAGTTCCTGCCCTCAGGGAGCTTAGATTCCAGTGGAAGGAGACAAACAAGTTAATGAGTAGCTATGTAACAGATGGACATAAGTGATACTGAGATAATATAGTAGGAGTAGGGGACATGGGTTGTCATTTTATAGAAGATGGTCAAGGAGGTCCTCAGTAGTACGTTGATATATGATTAAAGACCTGAAGGAGGTATTGGAGCCAGGACAGAGGTATCTGAAAGAAGAGTGGTTCAGACAGAGGCAACAGGAAGTACCAAAGGCCTGATCTAAGAGCTTACTCCCGTATGTTCTTTGTGCAGCAGAGTTTAGTGAAGCTGGTATAGCATAAGTTATGAGGTGAGCAGAGGGAAATGAGGTCTGAGTCGTAGCGGGGAGCCATATGAAGTAGAACTTTAAAGCCATTATAAGGATTTTTGTTTTTATGTTGAATGAGATGAGAAGCCATTGAAGGGTTTAAAACAGAAGTTATGATCTGACTTAGATCAAAGGGGGCGCTGGCTGTGGGTAGCAGGCTACTTGTATAATCTAGATAAGAGACAATGATTGTTTGAACCCATGGTGGTCCAAGCGGTAAGAAGTAGTCAGATTCGGGGATGCATTTTGTGTGTAGAATTGCTAGGATTTGTTGATGGATTAGATGCAGAGCTCGAGAAAAAGATGAGGATGGAAGATTTTAAGTTGAACAATTAGAAAGTTGGACTTACCATGACCTGAGAGTTGGAAATTATAAGTGATAGCTAATTAGACATTCAGTTAGAGATGTGTGAGCTCTGAGATAAAGATATGCAATTAGGAATTGTCAGTGTATAAATGAAGTAAATCATTCGATTTATGAAATCCTCCAGTGAGTGGCTACTGATAGGGAATGAAGAAATAAAGGTTTGAACCGTGGCACAGTCTGTCTGACTCTAAGAGGCTGGGGAAATCAGGAACTAGCAAAGGATAGACTGAAACGGAGTAGCTCTTTAGAAAGGAGAAGAACCAACAGAGAGGTCTGTTGGAAGCCAATTGAAAAAGTTTTCAAGAAGAAAGGTGTGATCAGTCAATAGATACTTATTAAGCTTTTTGTTAGAAAAAATAGTAACATGGAAAACTAAAAGTTTAAGTAGAAGCACAACTTATACAGACTTAAGTGAGATTTTTTGATATAGGAGGTCAAATTCCACAATTTAGGGCAATGTTAGACTGACATAAGACAGTGTTATAGGCTGACTTTTCCCTGAAGTCACCCCTTCTGGATGGATGTACTAGATCTTCGTACGAGGCTGAGAAAGATTGTAAGTTGGATGGCGCCCACAGCCTAAAATGTGCCCTGTCTTAGCACATGGCTTCAAGTGCTATCTCTTGAACCTGTGATCTTAGGGAACCTGAAGCTATGTCTTGCAGCTTTGGCTTGAAAACTTGTTAAATTTCATGGGGATTTTTTCCCCCTAGACTTGTTTATATGCCTGGTTACTATAATAGTGTGTCATTCTATTTTTTTGATCTGTCCCATGTAAAGTACCAGTTTAATGATATGGCAAGATGATTTTACCTTCTTTGCTGGATATTTTTATATTTTTTAAAGTCCTTGACTTTTGTTTGAGATACAGTTAAATTATTTAGAAATAGTTTGATCTTTTTAGGGATTACTTTTAGGCTTTGTTCGTGGGCCCAGAGAAGCATTTGGGGCTATTTTTTTCTTAGTACTAAGGCAGTACTTTCTGAGTATTCTACTCCATGCCCATGCATTGCGTTTTTCACTCAGGCTGGTGGGAACATGATCTATTCCTGGCCCTATGTGAGCTCTGGGGAGGGTACCACCTGCTAATTCTTTTGGATAATTTCCTGACCCCCATGCACTGATTGGTACCCAGCTGAAAACTTGGGGAACCCCTTCCTGAGCTCTCTCTCTATAGTCCTCTCTTTGCTGGGATTCTGTCTTCCAAAGTCTAGCCATGTTAGCCTCTCAAATTCTTAATTCTCTCCTCAACTCATGGAGACTGCTGTGCTTTTGCGGGGTATCACTTTCCATTGTTCTGTTTTGTGTTTTTTCCTAGAAATATTCTCTAGTAGTAAGCTTGGGCAACCTTAGAACTTACTTAGGGTCAATTTTGAAGCTTACTTTCTATGTTAACCTTCTGTGCAATGTTTAAAAACTGTTGTTTCACATGTTCTTGTTTTTTTAAAAAATTTATTTAACGAGGGTGGGAGGGAAGGGGAGAGAGAGAGAGAGAAGAGAAGAGAGGAGAGGAGGGGGAGGGGGAGGGGAGGGGGAGAGGGAGAGGGAGAGGGAGAGGGAGAGGGAAAAGAGAAACATTAATTGGTTGCCTCCTATACATGCCCTGATTGGGGATCAAACCTGTAACCTAGGTATATGCCCGGATTGGTAATCAAACTTACAACCTGTGGTGTACAGGATGACACTCCAATGTACTCAGCAGCCCAGCCAGGACCATGTGTTTTCTGTTTGTAGTTTTTAAGGCACAAGGGCAAATGTCTCTGTTTCTCTATTATGGCAGGTGGTAGAAATCCAATCTACTTAGTATTTTGAAATCATGCTTCTGTCATCAGGAGTGAAGATTGCTTCATGAGATTATTGCTTTAATGATTCACATGTTAATAAACCTGGTAGAAGCAGGACAGACCCTTTGTTCCACCTTGCTTGGTCAAGAAAAATCAAGAAATGAAACAACAACATAATAAAAATAGGTAACATTTGCTTAGCATTTATTGCATACTAAATACTAAACATTTTTCTAAATGGTTTATATGTGTTGAAATTAATCCTTAAAATACCCTGGTAAGATGATAATACAAGTCCATTTTAGTGACTAAGTGAAAAATCCAAGTAAATCTTTTTATCGATGAAGGCACGGTGGTACTGAGAGGTTAAGGAGGTGATGTGCATAAGCTGAGAAACTGGCATTCAGCCCCACAGAATCTCACCCCCAGCTCTGTGGTTTTAACCCCTCTGCTGTAATGTTGCTGACGATACATGCTGTTGGTATTTCACAGTCCATTGTCACTTCTAGGCCATTACCTTTGTATCTTATTTTTGTGTGGAGGGGGTGTTTTCATTTTTTTTTCTTCTTTTAAAATATTTTAATTGTTGTTCGAGTACAGTTTTCTGCCTTTTACTCCATCCCAGCCCTCCCCACCTCCTTCCTGTTTCCATCCTCCCCCCCTTGTTATTGTCCATGTGCCCTTTATACTTGTTCCTGTAAACCCTTCCCCTTTTCCCCTGAAGTTCCCTCCTCTTTCCCCTCTGGTCACTGTCAGCCTGTTCTCAATTTCAGTATCTTTGGTTATATTTTGCTTGTTTGTTTGTTTTGTTGATTAGGTTCCTGTTAAAGGTGAGATCATCTAGTAACAAACTATTGAAATGATCCCTGAAAGTACAGTCTTTGTACCTTCTTTTTAGGCTTATGACATTTCATTTTATCTTTAACACCAGCTCATTGCTGTCCTTCACTAACTTGGTTTTGTTTAGCATCCGCATTCAGAGTCTAGGACAGAATTAGTGCTTAACAAACACAGGGATGAACCTAAATTCCACCACATCCTTACCACAGACATGTGCCCACTGAATATTTCTGTTATTAATCAAATATCAAATATTATTGAGCAAATGTAAGTGACAAGAGAAAAATAATTTCAGCAAATAATGTGAATAGTGAAGAACTAAAAATTGAGAGCTACTGGCAGTAGTGAGTTTGACCTCTATTTGCAAATAGACGATTCAGGAGAGAGGGAACCAAAATCTACACAAGGCCACTGCACAGTGGTGGTACTTGGATGTCTTTTATCTCCATAGAGTATAACTGTTGTTATGGGCTGAACTGTGTCTCTCTAAAATGCATATGTTGAAGTGCTAACCCTCACCCAGTACCTAGAACGTGACTGTATTTAGAAAAAAAGTTCTTTACAGAGGTAACGAAGGCTAAACAAGGTCATTGGGGTGGGTCCTCATCCAGCATGACTGTGTCCATGTAAGGGGAGGAGATTAGAACACAGACACGGGCAGAGAAGACAGCCATCCAGGAACTAAGAAGTGAGGCCTCAGGAGGAATGAACCCTGCAGACCCCTCCTGGCCTCCAGACCTGCGAGGAAGTAAATGTCTGTGGTGCTTTGTTGTGGCAGCCCTAGGAAAAGAATACAGGCTCTTGAGCTACATTGAGGCTTTTGGCTACATTGCCCAAAAGGAGTAGAAACAGTGTCTTTTTTCGTGGTTATTAGAACTGGCTCTGCTCAGAATGTTAAACCTCTTTATTGATTGTATCTTAGTGATATGCTTAGGGCCTTACAGATTGTTGCCTATAATAATTTACAGGACAGTCAAGACAGTTTAACTGATGCCCACTCTAACTCTTTAGTACATTTCTGTTCTTTGATGCTAAGCAATAGGTCTGTTATATAGACAGGACTCGATTCTAGTTCTTCAGTGTCTTGGATGGGTATTATATTAGAAAAACTCAGTTTTCCTCTTTCTGTAAAGGGGAAACCCAGTTCTTCCCTATTGTGTGTCTCCTTTGCTTACTGTT